CTTTGACCACAGCCTCACCAAGCTAAATGCGCATCATAAGATTTGTTAGGCCGATAGAGACACGCACAAATATTGCATTGTTTGTATTTCTTGTTACGGTGCTGAGATTTGCACTTAGGGCACGGTGCCTCCTCCAGCCATCTGCTTCAGCAACATTCCTGGTCCTCTGATGCTTTGCTGGGGCCCTCCGCCTCCCGTCCTCAGAGCTGGGTTTGCAGGCTCACGCCTACCATGTTGGTTTTGGTTGCAATGAGGGTTAACTTTTTGCCTGGGCTGGCCTCAAACCCGCATCACTCCAGTCTCTCTCCAGAGCTGGAACCTCAAGCGCACCGCCAGCACGCTTCCCCTGCTTTGTATTTCTTCCATTTTTGTGGCCTTTTTTTTCCTTTCGCCATTTTTCATTATTGTGTTATTTTCCCTCCCAAATCTCTGACTTATTTAGAAATTATTGAGGAATAAAGGTTGAGGGACCTGGTTAGCCAGTTGATCCAACGTGCTAGCTGTGTGTACACAAGTTTTAGAGTATGCACATTTCATTCAGCATGCCATACACATACAAAATCTGATTGTAAAAATGTTCATTTGGGAATCAAAACTGAGCAAATGGGCTGGGAAGGTGGCTCAGGGGTAGAGTGCTTGCCTAGCACGCATGAATCTCTGGTTTCCATTCCTCAGCACCACATATACAGAAAAAGCCAGAAGTGGCGTTGTAGCTCAAGTGGTAGAGTGCTAGCCTTGAGCAAAAGAAGCTCAGGGGCAGCGCCCAGGCCCTGCGTTCAAGCCCAGGACTGGCAAAAAAAAACAAAAAAAAAGGAGCACGCAGGTCTGAGGGAGGCTATGGGGTGTCTGTTTAGCAAGTGAGGCCCAGAGTTCAAGCCCCAGAACCAGGAAAAAAAAATGCCTCTGTGTCACGTATGTGCCGGTCTGTCCAGGCAGACCTCCTAAGCCCCAGGATTATAGGTGTGGGCCACCGGTACCTGGCTTCATTGCTTCCCCCACTCCCTCTTTGGTGCTGATCCTAGAGCTTGAACTCAGGCCCTGGGTGCTGTCCGTGAGCTCTTTTGCTCAAGGCTAGCGCTCTACCACTTGAACCACAGCTCTACACAGCCAAAAGCTCTACCAGCTCTTTTGGTAATTAATTGGAGATAAGAATGGTACAGATTTTCCTGCTCAGGCTGTCTTTGAACTGCAATTCTCAGGTCTTAGCCTCCTCAATAGCTAGGGTGACAGACGTGAGCCACTCACTGGTGCCTGTTTTTGTTTTGTGTTTGATTTTTTTTTTGGGGGGGGGGTTGGTTTCTTTAGTGGGTGTTGTTTTTCTTTTTGTATTTTTATCAGTGCTGGAGGGGCTGGGGGTTTAGCCCAGCGGAAGGGCGCCCACTCGGTGCGCACAAGGCCCTGGGTTCAGTCCTCAGCCCTGGAAAAATAAAAATAAAAAAACACCTCTATTGATCAGTCCTGGGGGCTTGAGCTTGAACGCAGGGCCTGGGCGCTGTCCCTGAGCTTCTTTTGCTCAAAGCTAGTGCTACCCTACCACTTGCGCCACAGCGCCACTGCTGGCTCTGTCTGTTACGTGGTGCTGAGGAATGGAACCCATGGCTTTGTGCATGCGAGGCAAGCGCTCTACCACTGAGCCACCTTCCCAGCCCCAAGTTCTTTCGTTTTTTTGTTTGTTTGTTTGTTTTTTGTTTTGGTCAGTCGTGGGGCTTGAACTCTGGGCTTTGAGCGCTGTCCCTGCGCTCTTCAGCTCAAGGTGAGGGCTCTACCGCTTGAGCCACAGCACCACTTCTGGTTTTCGAGTGGTTTATTGGAGATAGGAGTCTCACGGACTTTCCTGCCCAGGCTGGCTTCGAACCGTGATCCTCAGATTTCAGCCTTCTGAGTAGCTAGGATTACAGGGGTGAGCCACCAGCACCCGGCTGGTTCTTTCATTTTTATGATTTTGCGATTATTTGTCTATTGATTAATAATTTTTTTTTTTGGTCGGTCATAGGGCTTGAACTCTGGGCCTGGGCGCTGTCCCTCAGCTCTTCAGCTCAAGGCTAGCGCTCTAACACTTGAGCTACAGCGACACTTCCTGGTTCTTTCATTTTTAAAGAAAGGGTCTTGCCTTGGTGTCCCAGACTGTCCTTCTCACCTTCAAGTAGTTAGGACTCCAGGTGTACGGCACCATGCCTAGCTGCCTCTATCTATCTGTCTGTCTGTCTTTGGGGCACGTTCATTCCTGCCTGTGCACTGCTGCCTGGGAGCCGGTTGCGGGTGGGCCCTGCGGGGGCTGTGTGGTAGGTCCTGTTGCCTTGGCTTTGGGGAGGAGCATGTTATTCTTTTGAGTGTTTGCCCTCAGGAGAGAGAAATTCAGAGCCACTAACCGAGGCAGCCTTTCCCCAATCTCATTTACAGGGAAGCCACCTCCTCATCCCCCTCCTCCTGCCCAGGAGCCCCCACGCCCAGCGCCCTCTGAGGCACCGGTGTGTCCCACACAGCCTTTAGGAGAGTTGCAGCCCTGTGGAACTCAGGTATGCACCTTCATAATGTCTTCCGTAACACCCAGCTTTGTCCCAGCCAGCTGGGAGCCAAGGCCTCCCGTGCGGGAGCAGCATGCTGGCCTGGGGTGAGGGGCCTGGGCAGGGGCCGGACCGGGGAGAGGTGAGCTGCACAGAGAAAGAACATCAAGAACAAACAGAAAAGAGCCGGGGGGAGAGGGAGCAGGGTGGAGTTTGAGGTGCTCTTTTTCCATCCTTGACCGGTGTCCAGCCCGAGGCCACCCACGGAGAACAAGCTCAGCAGGCGTGTTCCGCAGAGGGTGGAGCCTGAGTCGGACTAGAGGGGTCAGCCTGGAAGGGGACTGGAGGAGGAACGGAGGCTGTGAAGTTGGTTCTGCAAGAGAAGAAACGGAGAAGGGCTGGGCTGAGGCTGAGGCTGGGGCCAGGGCGATCCCACAGGCTCCGCCAAGTTCTGGACAAGGCCCTGGGGAGGACACACTGAGAGGGGGACACCTGAATGCAGGGTGTGGCAACTCCCCTGCGTGCCTGGCTGGCCCTGAGTGGGACCCCAGCACCACTGGGCCTCGCCTGACTCCTGGAACCTTTGTGTCCCTGTATCAGCCACTGCTTAGCCTTTTGGGTGTGTGTTCTCTCTCTCTCTCTCTCTCTCTCTCTCTCATTGGGGCCTGAACTCTGGTCTGGGCGCTGTTCCTCAGCTCTTCAGCTCAAGGCTGGCGCTCTACCACTTGAGCCACAGCGCCACTTCTGGCTTTTTCTGCTTATGTGGTGCTGAGGAATGGAACCCAGGGCTTCATGTATGCAAGGCAAGCGCTCTACCACTGAGCCACCTTCCCAGCCTTGTGTTTGTGTGTGTGTGTGTGTGTGTGTGTGTTATTATTCCAGTACTGGGACTTGAACTCAGGGCCTCTGGGTCCCACTGGACTAGTACCTTACCACCAAAGTCATGCTTACTTCTGCCTTTTGCTTGCTAATTGGCTGATTCCAAACTTAATTCTCAGATCTCAGCCTCCAGAGTAGCTAGGATGATAGGCATAAACCAATGGCGCCCAGTTCTAAATATGTTTTATTTGAAGAAATCTCCAGAACATCAAATAAACATGCTTGTTGTCCCTTCAGCAAAACGTTCACATTACCCGGCTTCTGCTTCATCCCAACAGACAGAATATTTTCTTAAACTTCATTAATCTATTCCAAACAACAAAGCAGGCACAGGCTCATGGCACCCTGTGAGGTAGCTGTGGAGGTGCAGTGCGGGCTGCCCCTGGGCAGTGGAGGCCACACTGTCCACCCTGAGGCCACACTCCACACAGCCCTGAGGCCCGAGGCGGGGAAGAGCTGCTTCCTGTCCTTACCGGAAGGCTCGCTGCCCACCACAACAGGACACGACGTGACGTGGCACTGACTGCTGTCTCCCTACAGGACCCGAAGTGTGCAAAGAAAAAGAGCTCCTCGGAGCTGGCTGGGAGGAGCCAGCCCCCCTCCGCACAGGTCAGCCCAGGCCCCCCCCCCCCCCGTGGGCGGGGCTGGGGCTGCAGCCCCACCAAGGGGCCTGGGGTAGAGCAGGGGCTGGGAAGGGCGGTGGGCTTGGTAGAGGGACACAACCCCATGTGCACCCTCCCCACAGTGGCCCCCACCTGGCGGCCCATCCAGTGCTCCCCGTCGCCTGGGGAGCTGGGGAGGGAGGCTGGCCACAGGCCAGCCCTGCTGACCCTGTCCCGCCTCACTCCTGTGGAGGCAGACTGCCACTTGCCAGAAAGAAAACCGGTCTCCGAAGCCACGGCAGGCTCAGGACATCCCTGGGGAAGACGGACACCTTGCCCACAGGTCGTCCTCACTGGCCAGCAGCTCCCTGCAGGACACCTGGCGGCTCCTAGACCTGGGCTCCAGCCCTTCGCTGGATCACTCCATGACAGGTAGGACACCCCGGCCGGCCCAGGCGGGGTCAGACACGCACAGGCTGGCCCAGGCGGCCCGGACACCACAGGCCGGCCCAGGCGGGGCCCGGACACGCACAGGCACCCTGACCTCCAGGGAGTGGAGTCAAGGTGTTGCATTCTTTAGTCCATTCCATTCCCTAGCTTTCCTTTTAGCAGTCTTCCATCTGCTGTCCTTTCCCTCGCATCCCGTTTCCCAGACCACGTACCACAGGCCCTGCAACCGTGCACAGGGATGGAGTCTGCCTCCCTACCGAAAGGACGCAGTGTGGACAGTTCCACAGCAGAAAAGACCAGCACAGCCAGGTGGTGCCCACCTGCGGGCCGAGCTAATCCGCAGGCTGAGATTTGAGGGTTAGAGCTCAAAACCAGCCAGCCGCAAAATTCCAGAGTTAAAGGCATGGTATAAGTGGTAGAACACCAGATATAAGCAGAAAAAAACAAGAGGCACAAGGCCCTGAGTTCAAGCCCCAGCATACACACAAGCACACGCACACACAGAGCTCAGTTCTCAGAGCTCACTCACTGTCATGAAGCCAGGACGGGGTCCTGCTCTAGGCCACGGCCCCCTCCATCCACCGGTCATGGGCGTCCCGTGCACCGCTGCCCGCAGCTCTAGCATAGGCCGCTGGTTACTGGGAAGGTGTTAGACTTTTCCTGAAGCCCCGGTGGGCACAGCAGGCAGCAGGAAGGTGAGGTAAAGGAAAGGCCACTTGAAAAGAACAGACCAGAGCCAGCAGGGTGGAGCCAGAGCCCAGTGCGTCCTGCGGGCTGCTGCCCTGCCGCTGGCAGCCTCAGCAGAACCTCAGCGCAGCGGAGCGCTGAGCTGGCTGTGGCTTCTGAAGGCCTCGCCTGGCAGCACAGCCAGACCTGGGCCAAAAAGGACAGAGGATGGCCATCCCCAAGGGCATCACTGGGCACTGGCTAGCATGCTACGTGCCGGGTTCAGCCCTACCCCGCAGAGGGAGGGAAACGCCCTTGGTGGACATTATCTCAAATCTCCTTCACCCGGACACCAGCTTACACCCCTCCACCCCCTGCAGTTTTGTTTTTTTTTTTGGTCGGTCCCAGGGCTTGAACTCTGGGCCTGGACTCTGTCCCTCAGCTCTTCAGCTCAAGGCAAGTGCTCTACCGTTTGAGCCACAGCACCACTTCCGGTTTTCTAATGGTTAATTGGAGATGAGTCTCACGGACTTTCCTGCCCAGGCTGGCTTTGAACCTCGATCCTTGATCTCAGCTTCCTCAGTAGATAGGATTACAGGCATGAGCCACCGGCGCCCAGCCCCCTGCAGTTTAAATGTTATTTCCTCCAAACCCCTCTCCAGTAATGTTCCAAGGTAATAGGTATCAACCTGGTTACTTGTTTGGAAGTGTGTGTTTTTTCTGTTCTCTGCCAGTTAGTGTAGTGGTTGTCTTTCTTATTTATGTTGTTGGTGGAAGTGGTGGTGGTCGTGGGGCTTGAACTCTGGGCCTGGTTGCTGTCCTTCAGTCTTTAGCTTAAGGTGAGTGCTCTACCACTTGAGCCATAGCGCCACTTCTGGTTTTCTGGTTTATTGGAGATAAGAGTATTATGGAGTCTTTTGCCCAGGCTGTCTTTGAACCAGATCTCAGCCTCCTGAGTAGCTAGGATTATAGGTATGAGCCACCAGAGCCTGGCTTGTCTTTTTTTTTTTTTTTTTTTTTAATCAAGATACTATACAGAGGGTTACAGTTACATGAGTAAGGTTACCCCCTCCATTATTTTCCCCCTACCATCCTTTCCCTCCCTACCTTCCCCGAAGTTTTGTTTTTTTTTTTTTGATTGTGATTAAGTGATTACATAATTTCCCGAATTTCACAGTATTGTGGAATAATGATGCTCATTTAAAGTCACAAGTTCATTCTAACTTTTCTGGAGCAAATTGTCTATCACAGTCTATAACATATATCAGTGTACACATGTTATACACCATACATGTGATCAGCAGCATGGGGATATTTAGTAGTGGTTCGACCAGATGAGTGGGAGTTCTTTGTTTCTTAAGTCCTGTTAGTTTTGTCATATCACCTAACATTTTGGATTTAGCATCCACTTATCAGGGAGACCATGTACCGTTTGTCTCTTTGCTCTTGGCTTACCTCGTTCAACATGATTCCTTCTAGCTCCATCCATTTCCCTGCCATTATTTTATCATTTCTAATGGCAGCATAATATTCCATTGTGTATAGATACCACAATTTTTGGATCCATTCATCTGTGGTAGGACATCTGGGTTGTTTCCATATCCTAGCTATTGTGAACAGTGCTGCAATAAACATGGAGGTGCACGTGTCCTTCTATATTGGTTCCTGTTGTTCCGGGTAGATGCCTAGAAGTGGTATGACTGGGTCGTAAGGGAGGTCAATCTTTAGCTTTCTAAGGACCCTCCAGACTGCTTTCCAAAGTGGTTGTATAAGTGTACATTCCCACCAGCAGTGTAATAGGGTTCCTCTTTCTCCACATACCCTCCAGCATTTGTCGTTGGCTGATTTGTGGATGTGGGACATTCTGACTGGGGTGAGGTGGTATCTCAGGGTTGTCTTTATTTGCATTTCCTTCACCACCAGGGATGATGAACATTTCCTCATGTGTTTCTTTGCCATTTTTATTTCTTCATTTGAGAAGTCCTGCTTTAGTTCCCTTGCCCATTTAGTAATTGGTTTATTAGGTTTGGGAGGGATTAGTTTCTTGAGTTCCCTGTATATACAGGATGTTAACCCCTTGTCTGATATATTGCTGGTAAATATTTTTTCCCAATTAGTTGGTTGTCTTTCTAGCTTAGTTGCGATAGATTTAGCTGTGCAGAAGCTTTTTAAGATAGTCCCATTTGTCGAATCTCTCTCCAATTTGTTGTGACCCTGGGACTCTGTTCAGGAAGTTCCTTCCTGTGCCTATTAGTTCAAGTGTCTCTCCTACTCTGTCCTGCAGTAGTTTCAGAGATTCAGGTTTAATGTTAAGGTCTTTAATCCATTTTGAGTTGATGTTGGTGCATGGTGATAGGCTGGGGTCCACTTTTAGTTTTCTGCATGTGGTCGCCCAGTTTTCCCAGCACCAGCAGTTGAAGAGGCTGTGTTTCTTCCATTGTATGTCTTTGGCTACTTTGTCGAATATCAGCTGGCTGTAGGCCTGTGGATTTATTTCTGGATCTTCTATTCTGTTCCATTGGTCTTCGGGTCTGTTTTTGTGCCAGTACCATGCTGTCTTTGTTATTACAGCTCTGTAGTAGAGTTTGAAGTTCGGCATGGATAGCCCTCCCATATTGTTTTTATCCCCTAGAATTGTTTTGGCTATTCTAGGTCTTTTGTTGTTCCATATGAATTTTTGGACTGTTTTCTGTGTTTCAGTGATGTACGTCATTGGGATTTTAATAGGAATTGCATTGAATTTGTATATTAGTTTTGGAAGTATTACCATCTTTACTATATTAAGTCGGCCTATCCAAGAGCATGGGAGGTCTTTCCATTTCCTAGTGTCTTCTGCAATTTCTTTCTTTAACTTTTTATAGTTCTCATTAAATAGTTCTTTTACATCTTTGGTTAGGTTAATTCCTAAATATTTTATTTTTTGGGAGGTTATTGTGAATGGGGTTGCTCCCTTTATTTCCCTCTCTTCTTGTACATTGTCAGTGTACAGGAAGGCAACTGATTTTTGTGGGTTTATTTTGTATCCTGCTATTTTGCCGAAGTGATTTATGATTTCTAAGAGTTTGGGGATGGAGTTTTTGGGATCGTGAAGGTATAGCATCATGTCGTCTGCAAAAAGGGATAGTTTAACTTCTTCTTTCCCTATGCGGATCCCTTTAATGTCTTTTTCTTGCCTTATTGCCCTGGCTAAGGGTTCCAGGACTATATTGAAGAGGAGTGGAGACTGTGGGCATCCTTGCCTTCTTCCTGATTTTAGGAGAATTGGTTGTAGCTTTTCCCCATTAAGTATAATATTGGCTATTGGTCTGTCATAAATGGCTTTTATTGTTTTTAGAAATGTTCCTTCTATTCCTGTTTTCTCCAGAGCTTTTAGCATGAATGAATGTTGAATTTTATCAAAGGCCTTTTCTGCATCTGTGGCGATAATCATGTGATTCTTGACCTTGGCTCTGTTGATGTGTTGGATTACATTTATTGACTTACGTATGTTAAACCATCCCTGCATCTCTGGGATGAAGCCTACCTGGTCATAGTGTATAATTTTTTTTATGTGTTTCTGGATTCTGTTTGGCTTGTCTTTCTTATTGATTTCTGGGCATTAATTGTATGTAATGGAAAGTCTTCTCCATTATTTCCCTGTTTTTCATGTTTTTGAATTCTCCTGTGGTGTATTTTCTCATGGATTTTATTTATTTACTTGTGTTGGTCGTGGGGCTTGAACTCAGAGCCCAGAACACTGTTAGAAAATTGAACCATGAACGCAGTAAAGCAAAGAAAGAGCAGAAAAAGAAGCCCCAGAGGGACTCCATGGTGACCTGAGGGGGTCAGCAGACACGAGGCATGGCATCATGGCCACTGGAGCTTGTCTGGGCCTAGGTGTGTCCTGGTCCAGGGGACGGTGTCACAGGGACCCAAGACTGGCAGGATCGGGCTGGGAAGGTGGCTCAGTGGTAGAGCGCTTGCCTCACATGCGTGAAGCCCTGGGTTCCATTCCTCAGCACCACATACAAAGAAAAAGCCAGAAGTGGTGCTGTGGCTCAAGTGGTAGAGTGCTAGCGTTGAGCAAAAGAAGCTCAGGGACAGCACCCAGGCCCTGAGTTCAAGCCCCAGGACTGGCAAAAACAAACAAACAAAAACCACAGGACTGGAGGGTCTAGTAACAATTGTCCAAGTCCCCGGCCTGCCTCTAGGAATTCAGACACAGCCATCACAGCCCTGCCGGCCCCCACTCCACAAGATACCAGTTATACTCAATTCTCTACCATCCACCACTCAGCCAAGATGGATTCTTACTTCAGTGAATTGGAGATAAGTCT